CTTCAAAGGTTCCAGTCCATGAATGGTAAGCACCTTTGGGTGGAGTTGGTCCCGGCCGAGGGTAGCAGGAGCCGGGAAGGACAGGGAGCGCTGGGCCAACACTCAGAGTGACCAGCCAGAGAGTGGAGAGAACAACAGAGCACTTGCTTCACAGTTGATTGACAGTAGGTTAATTGACTGAACCCTCACTAGAGAGCAGCCCCCACAACCCTGTCTCTCCAGAGGCATCTCACTTCCCTATCTCAGATGAAGACGTTCATACTGATCTGTGGGAGGCAAATGTTCATGGAAATGCACTGGGACTGATGACATAAAGGGAACTATTAGTATTGAAAGTGTGTATTCTCTGGTGTGTTTTAAGATCTTATTTTACATTATTGTAGTTTCAATATATCTTGCTGAACTGGGACACTACATTCCCCAATAGGGTTGTGTGTGATGTTAGTGTAGTCACAGAAATAATCATAATAGTAATACAATACAAGGTCAACATATTGAGTAGGACATGTTAATTGTTGCCTGGATTGTGTTCGATTGCAAAGTCAAAGAGAGGAGGTATTGGTTGGTTGGATGTACATTAAACAGAATATTTGAATCATCATGTATGACCTCCTGCATTGTGAGGATGAGGCTACTAAAACCTTGAGTTATAGTAAAAAAGAAAGTGAAATGCTTTGATCAGCCAGTGTAAGAATCATAACCATACCCTGTTCCAAGTCTGTAAGCTCAAAATGTTAGAATGAACTAATACATTGAACCCGGTGCAACATAGCCACAATCGCGGCAAACGTGTGGAGAATGTCTTCCTGTCAGTCTATAAAAAGGTTCAAACTGAAATGTATAAAGAAATATTAAACAGATTTATCACAGAAACTGATTTATACAGACATTCCGTTTTCACAGAGGATGAACCTGTCTGACTTTTACCTGGTGTTTACCTGATCCTTCTTCTTGGACCACCAGCATGAAAACTCTGGAGTTATTGAATGCTCACAGAAAATCATGTCTTTTATGTAGTTTAGAGTAACTTGCAGCTATTTTTAAACACCTCCATGTTTGTACTTAGTATAGTTTAATTATAGGTGCTTTTTGTGTGCAATGTAATAAATGCTGCAGGAAAATATGTTTCATGCTGTGAAGCATGAACATTCTTTTCCTCCCACAATGTAGCTTCAAAAGTGTTTCTTTACCGGCTTCCTGTTAACAGCATAGAGGCGCTCTCTAAAACCATCAAAAATAATGAACTTATCTGTACTGCTACGCAGTCTTTCATACATTTCCTGAGGGAAATAAAATAACAGCAGTATTGATAAAAGTAGAAACATGAAAGTAATTTCCACGACTCCATCCCAATGGTGGGATTGACTTTCAATTATGAGGCTTGGAAACATTGCTATCGTTTAAGCTGCCCCTGGATGGCGTGATGGCGAGCCATCTAAGCGTCTTTGACAGCTGCCATATGCAGAATCTGTCCTGGCAGTCATCTTCACACTCTGAAGCAAAAGACCAAATAAAGTAAACAACTAAAATATTTATTAACAGCAAACTCTTATCACGACACAGTCTTCAAGTCAAATGACACTTAACCCTTTGGGTACAATAATGTTGGCCATTTTGATCTGGAGAATAAACAATGAACAGACCTGGAGGATTCCTCCGCCGTGTTCCTCTATCAAAAACATGAACAAGCACATCAGGATCTAGAAGGTCCAAAACTGCTTCTTTTAAAAAGTCAGACATTAAACACAATGGCTTGCTTTTTTTTTTGTAGGAACTGAGTCAAGAACAACATTGTCATTTTCAATATTAGATTTTTTTTACATGTGTACATAGTTCTATTTTCGGGCTCTTATTAAGACTGTTCAGTTCATACAGACATGTGTTGGAAAAATAAAAACGTGTGAAGTGAAGTCTGTCCGGGCTCCTCGTCCATTTGCAAAGACTCCTGGGACTGATTCTGGTCTACACTTATCTGGAATTCAAAATTCTTCAGATCTGTCTGGGACACACTGATCAGAAATCTGTATACACAGGCGAGTCAAATACACAATGTTGTCTAATGTTGCCAAACGGTGAAAAGACATTAAACTATGACCAATTATAAAAGGGTTAAGGCAAGAATAGAAAAATAAAGAAATAGTAAAAACAATAGAAATGTTGCTTCTCTGTCATAATCGACATGCAACTCTCAAATCCTAAGAAGCTGTGGTAGTGAGAATTATTCACATAGTCGTACTCTCTTTACAGAACCCTTCACTTTACACAGTATTTACAGCAAAACAGAGCCTATCCCACAAAAAGTAGTCACTGAAATTAACATGTTATTCATGAACACAATGATAATTAAAAAACTGTATAATTGTATCATATTGTCAGTATGTAAAAACATTTACACAGAGACTTGCAAATAGTGTTGTACAGTAGTCATTATATCCCATATCAAATCAATCAACAGAGCAATCCAAAAACAGCGTTTTCAGTGATCCTTTGTACAAATATCTGCTTTTGATTGCTGTGTTGATGGGTACAGATTTAATTTACATCACTTGTTTTTCTTTTGTGTCACCGTACTCTGTGCACAGTTGACCTTTTTAGTTTTACAAGAGGCATAGTAACTTTGGAGGACAGTACAGGGAAGAATGCTCAAGTGAGACACAAACAGATGTGGTGGCAAACAAAGACGAGGATATTGTGTTTGAGGGGTCAGAGGGGCGGCACACCTCGCTGCATGCAACTGTCCCCTTCAGAGGTTCAACAACCAGCATCAACTTTCCCAAAGTTACAGCACACAGGGAGGAAAAATATGTTCCAAACACGACCAGAAACTAAATCTAGTGTGACATTATCGTGTAAGTTTAGAACAGGGGAGACTTATTTTAAACTCCAAAGACCAAAGTCACCTAATCAATACGTCAATGTTTTTCCCTTTACAGCTAGTGTAGGCATTGAAGACACAACTGAACTCACACTAGCGGTGAAAATGACAAGATCATTTCATTTAGATTGACTCTTTACCAGAGGAAATTATTGTGATATTGAACCATAACATTCAAGAAGTGAGTCTGCAGAAGTGAGTCATGTCCTGCCTTTAGAGACCTATGGCATGCTCATATTTGTGTTTGTTTCTTGTCACTAATTTAAAAGGTGTTCTACTGTACATGCACTGTTTTTGGCTATGATAGAGTGATGTGGTAGCTAGTGGCTCACGTTAAGTTTTATAGTCACACAAACCACATGGCGAGGTGGGCACAGATGTGAGTTCCATGCCTACTGATAGGTGTTGTCTTAAAAATGTCTCCAAGTTGGTGTGCTTGGATTCAGAGTGTTCCTGACTTTGATACAGAATACTATTTTTCTTAAGAACTCCAGCCGGTTCGCTTTACATAGAAAATGATCTTTGATGAAAACAAATGAAGGTTTCATTTTCACTCTGAAGGATTATCTCAATCTGTGGAGGCAGTTTTTCATTCTGAGGCAGCAAATTGATTCTCCTGGAAGAGGAAGAAAAAGTCCTGATACCTACAACGCTGCTGTTATCAGGTAATCATTTCATGGTTGAAGCATAATTCATGGCCCCAACACGTAGTTCGCATTTTAAAGTTTGCTCTATTTTAACAAACATTTGAGACAGCGTTCAAAATGCCCCCTGGTTGTCTGTAGTGGGAGAAAAAAAACAGACAGTGATGGACACACAGGGTGGTAACAACGAACGACACTTGACGGAAACGTTTTCAGACAAGCTTTTGGATAATGGAGAGAGATGAGGACGGGGGGACCGCTGCAGCGTCAGAGCTGTGAAAGAGTGAAGTGCACCAGACTCTCTCGCCTTATTAAGCCTTGCCGTCTGTAAACAAATTCAACACTTGGTGACCTCCTGGCATACTCAAATCCAGGCCTGCTTGACATGGCTTTAAATTACACCCACCCTCCTGCTCTTTCTCTTTTGGTATGTCTCTCTCTCTCTCTCTGCTACTCTTTGTGTGCCATCTGCTTCAGAGCTAAGTAGCCCAGGGAGACGCCAGAGAAGTCTGACCCACACGAGCTCTGAAGATTTTAACAATAGCTACGACTGCTGCTTCATCTAGCCTGCAGGGATCTTTTGTTCACCATTAAACTGCTTACACATGCTTTTGATATCATAACTTGTTATGACTGGCAGTCAATCACATCAGAGAGGAGACTCTGAGGCTGAGGGACGGCAGCGTTAATGGCTCAACAGACAACAGCTATGGGTACCACTTTACAATAAGGCTACCTTTATAAAGGGTTTACGAATAGTTAGTAATTCATTTATTAATTAGGTTGTGAACACTTTATAAATCATTGATAAGCTTTTATAAGACATGAGATAAACAGGGCAACTGTGACTGGTTGCTTGCCAAATAGTGAGCCCACATTTATCTATACTGCTAANGAGGAGATCTCGTGAGTTAACTCAAGAAAAATTGGTTTACAGGAGTCTTCCCCCACTCCTCACCGAGAGATAAAAGTAGATTTCATTGTCTGTCATCTTAGTCGTGTAAACCTTTGTCCCGACTTTGTTCTCCCCTAAATACCCATTACGACGTTACTAGACAAACCATTAAGTACCTCGGTTTGTGAAGTCTATGCTGTTACAAACATATATAGACTCTGGATATTAATATAACTTACTTTTTGTCATAGTAGTCCCCTGAAATTTTACTCAAAGTCTACCATAGTAATATGGTCAACAAAAAGACCTAGGAGGAGATTCAGGTGATAAGGTGGTGGGGGGTTACCTTGGTTGGTGATTGGCTAATGGTGACACAAGCTAAATAATCGTTATGACATCACAAAGTGGCCAAAATCTGATCAGCTCATTTTCAGACAGGTTTTTATATAAATGGATCAGGAAAAAAGAGAGAGAATCTTTGTTCCTGAAACTTTCAGAGTCTCTTTCCACAGAGGGGACACATGTTGATGTAGAAGAGACATAAAGAAGTGGATTTTGCATAATAGGTGACCTTTAACATCTAAATCTCTGACCTTTCTTTGTCATTTGACTGCAGATGTTGCTCTCCATTGCCTTCGCTGCAGTGGGGGTGGCCGGCGCTTTCTACAGCTTCATTGTGGCGTTGATCGGTCTGAACAGTGGGCCACTCTGCTACGCTGAGGGCGAATGGACGACACCTTTCAAACACAGGTTACGAACAGATTTCCGATTGAAAAAGGACATATTATGCTTATTTTCAGGTTCATATTATAGTATTTAGTGTCTCTACTGTGACATGTCTCCATGCTCTAATGTTCAAAAAGCTCTTTATTTCTCTTCTACTGTCTGTGCTGCAGCACCTCTTTTCACCCTCTGTCTGAAACCAGAGCGCAGTCTGCTCTGATTGGTTAACTGGCCGGCTCTGTTGTGATTGGTCAACCGCTTACAGATGTCCCGCACCTTAGCCTATCATGTACAATATGTTGGAGCGCTAGCCATTGTTACTAAGTGATGTCACTATGTTACGGAAGTAAACAAAGGAGTCCAATGGAGGTGTTTCTCCCTCTGATGGAAACTTAAGCCTTTGTCAAAGTCAAAGTCAACTTCATTGTCAATCTTCCAGTTTGTGTGTACAGACAGAGAGCTCGAAACACAGTTTCTCACAATCCTAAATACAAAAACAAATATGTATGCAAATATGTATATACCTATATATACACAATCAAAAGACACATTTATGCACACATTAAGACCTAAATAAAAGCATTACAATCAATATATACAAAATAACAGTCACTTCAATATCTTTGAGAATTGAGTAGTGCAAGACTGTCCATAGCAGCGTAAATAAAGTGTCTGGTGCTGGAATTTCGCAGCCCATTTACATGTAGAAAAACCTACAACACACTATATGAAAAGGAAACCCTCCAAAAACAGAATAGGGCCCCTTTAAAAACGATGAAGTGGTGGTCATTTAAGCATCTTATTTCCCACAGAAACACCTCCTACCTCGCCGAATCTTTTTTGTGGGGAAAGTGTGTTGAGCCCAAGAACGTGGTGCAGTTCAACATCGGGCTGTTCCTCGCCCTGATGGCCACCAGCTGTCTGCAGGCGCTGCTCTGTGCCGCGCAGATAATCAACGGCCTCGCTGGCTGCCTGTTTGGAGCCTGCAACGAGAACAAGCTGGATGAAGCCCCACTTTCATCATAAGCAAGGCGAGGCAAGTTTATTTGCATAGCACCTTTCAACACAAGGCAATTCAAAGTGCTTCACAAAAATGAAAGACATTAAGAAACATATTATGAAATGGCATTTAAAAACACTCATTTAAAAGCAAAGATGATCCAACATGAATATCAAACGTACATGAATTTAAGTGACAGAGCAGTGTGAGAAACACACATCTGAAATGTTTAGGTCTCTCAATCATTGCTCACATTTTAGCAGAAATTGTTTTCTTTGACCTCACTTTCTTTCTACTTCTTTTTTAACTTAATTAGTCTGCAGCAGATAGATGGATTCAAAAAGTTCTGTCCACCAGTTTATTTTTACATTTGATGTTTTTTTTTTTATTCAGGAACCATGAGTCAGGAAGAACTAATACCACTTCTGAAGATTTCAATGGCGCCACCTACTGGAAAGCTGGGAGAAGTTTGCTTCGCTGCATCTGCATCAAACGCTGCATGGCTTTTAATAACTTACTGCTGTTGGAAGATCATTAGGGCCATAAAGAGGAACAATTATGAGATGAAGTTTGATTAAAAGGCAATGAGTTAAGATGTCAAGAATAAAGTCAGATATCATTATTTTGCCAGATATAATATGATCATTTGTTTTGTAATTTGAATGCAGATTTAAATGCTATAGCGATAGCATGTAGTTTGAAAAACAACTTAATTCTGGAAATGTTTAAAATAAATTGTGCATACGTTTTTCCCTGGCCCTAAACTCCACCATACTCTTGTGTCCTGTATTTTATCAGACTTTAAAAACGTCAGCTTAATTTAATTATGCTTTACAATGTTGCAGTGTATTAAAAATACAAATGCTAATTATAGTCAAGTTTTACTGTCAAGTTACATCATTGTATTGTTGACTGCAATAAACAGCAATACGGTTACAGTATCTTTATCTATACAAATGTTTCGGAGTTATCTCAACTTGTTGGACATGTAAATTTACTTTTGAACAGCTGACTGTTATGAGAGCCAGCAGGTTAGATATCAGGAAGGTTAAAGTGTCGTATTCACCTGCTGATTCTCCCAGCAGTGTATTCTGCTGTTTAACAAAACAAACTAAGCTAAATGTCACTGCTTATTGCCTGATAACGGGGAGAGAAAGTGGATTATGGCACACTTTATTTTATGATGCAGCACATGTACTTCTGTTTAACCCTAACACAGGAGTAGTTACTTTCATCCTTTGATGAACGTGTCAATACACAATTTATGATACTACTATGATTTATGTAAGATAACAGAACAATGAGACCTTAGAAAAGAGGAAACCAAGATATCAAAAATGTGTCCTTCACACCAACAATGAAACACATGAGCACATAGGCCTACTAGAGTTTAAAAAAGCAGGGACACAATATGAGCTGACAGAACATGTACATACAGTTAAGCTCATACACACTATTTTATGAACATATAGGTTCACCTGCTGAATTAAAAAAGAACAAATGAACCAAAGAAAGTTAAAACCATGAAGCAGATGCAGGCAGTATAGTCTACAGAACAGTACAGTTTACAAAGTAGAAATACAATCTGATCCTTTAAAAACAACACAATATGCTCTTTTTGTAACATTTTAATACTGCTAGCATTTTTGGGAAATCTCACTAATCTGATGACGTCTTTCTTTTATGTAACTCTAAGGCACATGTGTCAAACTCAAGGCCCGGGGGCCAAATCAGGCCCTTGGTGGATTTAATTTCGTCCCGCAGGATAATTTCTAATTACTATTAGATCTGGCCCACTGGTATATTGCACGCACAGTCGCACACCTTCACTCCATCCTGAGGGTCTCCTCAGCTCAGAGCCTGACCCCAAACATTGATGACCTTGCTTGCACCCAAGATGAGATGCCAAGTATCTGCTTGAACTAGCATCACAGAGCAGCACACTGAGTTTACATGGATGTTTCCTTCTGCACTTTTTCTCTCACGACAACAGGGCATGTTTGGTTTTTTCTTTGAAGCTGTTGTTGGCCTGTGTAAAAATGTAATCATAAGAAATGACTGAGGAAAAGCTGCAGATAGAGCCATAAGAAATGAATGCAACTGATTATTTAATGTTTCATGTTGTTTATATAGGCAATAATAAACAACACTCTCTCTAATCTAAATCGTATAGATGTTATGAAAACTCCGACGTGTAAGGTCTGTGATTAATTCCGTCACACGCAGGGTCCAGTGCCGGGAATGTGTTTGTCTCATCTCCTTTTTGTGAGTGGTAATAAGGAGGAGGCTACTCAGGGGAGGTACATGAAAGGTGGAGGAGTCATTACACAGGTAGAACCCCGCATGAAGTGCAGGGGCGGCCCTTTTTTGTCGTTGCTAAAATGTTCTACTACCTATATTTACGGTTCCCTATGTCTCAGTGCCGGGTGCGTTGCCCTTGTAAAAGGTCACGTGTACAAGCAGTCTCACCTTTTTTGTTTGAGTCGTTTCAAACTCGACGAAAGTCTCCCTCCAAGACTGTCTTTAACTGGGTTTCTGCTTTACACAAACGTCACCCCGCGGTATTTGATTTATGACCCTCCCTCCTACCGAAACCCCTCCGCATTACTCTTCGACTATTGAACCAATTGTCTCCGTCCTATCCAGCGTGTCAGATTTCAGCGTTGCGAGACACACTGAGTGACACCACAGAAGACAACTTATACTCGGGTCTGTTAGTGCGAAGACGGTAGACGACAAATCAATTCCAGATGTTCATACCATTAACATCAATTTAGAGGCAATGATCGAACGACATATATATTATTAATAAGAGAAAGTGTATTTATTGTAAGTGTTTCACGAAGTGTTCTTTCTTGTTTTCAATTTTAATTCTGTGTTTGTACATTAGTCATTGTTGTACCTCGTCTTAAAATTCCATTTTGGTTAAAATTTTTTGTTTTGTGTCTTCTCAGTTTTCCTTATTTGTATTCTTGTCTTGTTAGTGATGTAGAGTTCTTTCGTTACACTTTGCTACCCAGAAGTCAACATTTAGGTCAATGAATCAGCACGACATTATCGAGTTATAATTCACGATGATTTCTACCCCTAACACTTTCGTACTGAAATGACTTTGTACAAAGTTGAGGGTGATACACACACCATAAAGACCACTTACAACTGTAACGACGGAAAGTCCTAGTCTCGTGCCAACCCCTGAAATCTGGACTTCACGTGTGAATCGTTCTTATTACACAGTAACTAGTAAGCTTGGGGTTTTACCACTATGCACCTGTTGTAATGTCCTCTCAATGTACGTTTCTTGGTGAACAAAAGCAAGGAGACGACAACTGACGCCAAAACACTTTAACACAGTCATTCAATTTCGTTCTTCTCGAGGGTTTTGTGCACGACAGAGGTCCGTGTGGTCCCGCTCCGACAATCAGAAGTCACTATGCCAACATTTATTAACTTAATCACAGGAGGAGTGTATTTCTCCTCACAACAAGGGTAAACAATAATCGTTGAGTTGGTGGTTAGTAGACTGTTGGTCCGGTGCCCTCAATGTCTAAATTGTCCTATTTCAATCTATAATTTTTTACATTGTCATCCGGAATGAGGGACCATGTCGTCCCACAGTTGATGTGTCACCCGTTTGTAAAATTTTACCCATGATTAAGCTCCCGGCCCTGACCAAGGTTACAAATAACGTTTTGATAACTTTACTTGAATAACGTGCATAATTTGGACCTTGATTGT